TATCGCCGGTAGTGGTTGCGTCGGTGGTGGAAGGGTTGGTACGATCGGTGGGGTTGGTGGATGGATTGGAAGATTTGGAGTTGATCTCGGTGATGTTACGGTAGGAGAACAAGGGGAGGAGAGGCCCGTTTAGAGAGGGGCGGGTGAAGTAGCGGGAGAAGAATGTGGGGCGGGGAGGTGTTGGGGATGCTGATGGAGATGGTGAGGTACAGTGGTTGTGCTTTTGTGAAGCCATGTCTTGATCGTTCTTCTGCGAGATCAAGGTATCTTGCGTTGTGACGCTGTGTAAGCGGGGGATGGAGTCGAGAGCGACGGGATTGTTGTATGTAGACGCGGTCCAGGTATCGTTCTTGAAATCCGCGCTCGTCGATGTCGACTGTGTAGAGTCCGAAGCACCGAACCACGACATCTTCTTTGCTTTGCTGGAAAAGTATGTAGTCCAGCTACGAGGAGCGGAGAAACTGGTGGGTCTCCTCCTGCTGGCCGATCCGGGTAGTAGGCTAGGCCATATCTTGCCAGCTCCAATAAAGACCAATAGTCCTCTGTAATGAGCATTTGCATCGACTCCCGTGCCGAGGAAGCCGAAGATGATGAATCCCGTGGCGATCTGAACCCACTTCTCGATACTGATCTTACCCAGCCCGGGCTCCCTTGTAATTCTGTTCCATCTCTCAGGATCATGGACTCTATCCCAAGAGTAACGGTCGTGGAGTCTTCCGGCCATCTGGATGAGGAGTACGATGGTGTAGATCAGATAGAAGGAGATGACGATGAGGCTGAGCAGGAAGAGGCGGATGAAGCGTGAGGACGTGGTATTTCGCGCTGCAACAAGGCGGTGAAACTCGCGTCGGTATCGGTAAAGACGCCAGATAAGTAGGGCTGTTGCGTAATTAGTAAGGTGACTTGAGGGAGGAAGTAGATGCGACTTACCAGCCCAGTAGGAGTCGATCACAATGCCAACGGCTGACCACATGAAACTAATGACCATGCTAGGCCATGAAGCATCGTGGACAGACCAACACCCAGCAATACCGACGATTGCATAGCGATTGTACTGGGTGACATAGTAAATGCCCATCAGTAACAACGGCACGCCCCAACACCAAAAGACTTCCCAGATCTTCGCTTTGACTTTGCTCTTATGGCTGGTCGACACAGTAATATTGCGTGTATCCATAACGTTGGCGAGCTTGCGTAATACCAGGGCTAACGAGGCGGTCAATCCCACATAGCTACCGACCTGGAGCCGGATCTGAATGTCGCACAGGATCGCACCGTCCCACCATTCGGTCAGGTTGTCGCGGGGCCAGATGAGTGGGTTGATGCAGTTGAAGAGGTTGTGAAGGACAATCCACAAGATGAGTGACCCGGCTGCGACGTTGGCTTGACGGAAATGCCAGATCATTGGTGCAACGCAGAGGAGGAAGGCTGGAAAGGAGAGGGTGATGAAGAGGATGGCCTGGGTGGAGACGGGTGCGTTCATTTCCTCCATGGTGATGTTGGTGCTGTATTCATACGTCCCCGCCGCATCTCCAGTCCAGTAAGCTTCGTAGGAGTGTGTGTTGGTTGCCATAGAAGTAGATGTCAAAGACATAGCAGTAGATGTCATTGCCATAGCAGCAGATGTCATTGACATGGTAGCGGATGTCAAGAGGAGGGAGCAACCAATGAAGATGGGCAGTTATCTTCGATGCTGCAAAGCGGCAGATCTGAATCCAGTCCAGGAATGTAGCCGTTGATAAAGTGGAACTCGAGCTGTCGATTGTGCTATCTCTAGGATAGTGTCAGGTAGTGTTGATGGGTTTAGATATGGAAAAGATTATGATTAGAAAGAAAAGCAACGGAAGAGATAGACAGGCGGCAAGCAGCCTCGAAAGCCCCATCACTCCCGTCGATACCGAGTATATGGAAATTCTCAATAGAGCAAATGCGTGTCTCAAGCTTCAATAAGGCTCAATAGGACTTACGTTCACTTGAGTGGTGAAAACGAGTATGCCGTTAGAATAGCATATCCGCAGACGCTCTCGCCCACGTCAATCACAGTCTGTTTGAAACGGGCTGACCCGTCGCAGGGACAGGGCGCTGCCTGGTACCCGTGATATTCGGTTGCGGCGGTATGGTTGTGGTAGTGGAAGTGAGACTTTTGCCCGTCCGCATTTGGGTCTGAATAGAAAAAGACGACTTCTGAATAGAAGACCAACGAGAAAGAGACGAGACATGTCTGTGATAAGTAGCAGCGCAATCAGAGAGGGAATCATGGGGAGACGAGGTGCTAAGTCCCCGCTGCTGCGGCATGGTCGCAGGTCGGGTTGTACGTGGCGGGTTTAGCCAGATTATCCTACCCACCCGCTTCGAGCATCCAGGAACCGGTATTTACCTGCCCGGTTTGGTGGGCATCTGTTACATTGTCGGAGTCCGAACAAGTGCGTTGGGACGATGGGGTACTCTACGGCAGATGGCTGCGTCCCAGTATGAAGCATCGGGGACCATCAAGTGGCGAGATTTTGTATTGATCGAATGGAAGATAGTCCATGAGGCATGTGCGAGCCTTTGCAGCGCTTGGTCGTCTCCTCGGTCATGGTGTAGGCGGAGTTACACAGCAGGAGAAGCCTGCACACGTGTGGCATGGTCGTCACGGTCTGAATGGCCGTGAATGCGGGATGCGCACGGGATACCTGTTGGTGTCGAGATGGTGTTCGCAGTGAATCGCTTGCAAACCATGGGAAGCTAGGCCATAGCGCATGTGTGAAGAAGCTCGGAGAGGGTCCCAGCTCTACAATTGACCGCATCGAGACATGACGTAAGACGAACGACTCGCCGAGGCGTCTTCCACTACGGCACACGACCGTCGCGTTAGTACGTGTGAGCGTCACCAGAGCCTCAGCAATGCTTCCGCGGCGCCTGCAACCATCGCGATCAGGTGACTCGCATCTCTACCACATTGCGCCTTCTTGAAGCGGCGTCTAGGCATCCATTGGCAACGACGTCGTCCACGTTGCTTCTTCAATCCCGACGTCTCAACCGGTACTTGCCATGGACGGTGCGCCGGTCGACAGTCCCAGCATCCACCCTCAACTTCGCCAGAGGATGCTGAACCGCGCTACCACCTTCGCTGAGGGTGCGCGACCTTCTACTCCCCCTACAGCCGCCCCTCGACGCCGCAGCTCCCTCGTCTCCGACCTCTCCGACTCGCGCTATTCCTTGCGGTCTTCCAGCGACAATCTTCTGAGAGCGGGTGGGAAGAATGATATGGGCCGACATGCATCTCCAGACGAGCCGTCACGATGGATTGCGCTGCCTGTGGTCGCCGCCGTGGTCCCTGCCATCATTGGATTGACGGTAGAGAACGGCGCAGATGTCGCGACAGACGTCTTGATATTGGTACTGGCGGGATGGTTCCTCCATTGGAGCGTCAAGGTGCCATGGTAGGTTGTAGCAAGCATGGCTGAGAATCACAGCTGACGCGATGCAGGGACTGGTACCACGAGGCACAGCAACGACGATACTTGAACGACGACACGGATGACGCGACATACGACGACACGATACATGAGGAGGAAGAGGATGCGCCAGATGTTGCAGAAGAGCAAGCAGGCGAGACGCAGGACTCAAAGGTCAACACCACTACCGATGCGCCTGTCTCGCGAGCGCAGAAGGAGGCTCGTGAAGCGCTGAAGCGGTCGGAGATGCTGGCCTTCATCGGCTGCTTCCTAGGTCCCCTCCTCGGCGCCCTCCTCATGCACACCATCCGAGGCCAGCTCATGCGCGCCGAAGGCATAGTATCCGACGCGAACCTCAGCATCTTCCTCCTCATCGCCGAGATACCCCCCGTAAATCGCCTCATCAAGATGCGAACAGAGCGAATCCTCCACCTGCAGCGCATCGTCCGAGAAGCCCCCAGAGAGCCCGTTCGATCAGCCGACACCCAACAGCTCTCACAGCGAATAGCGGAACTAGAAGGACGGATCGATGGCCCCCCACCCGCCAACAACAACGAGGTAGACGTAGAGAAACTCAGCGCCGAAGTCCGCCAAACAACACAACTCCAACTCGACGCGCTGAACCGCGCAGTTAGGCGCTACGAAAAACGTCACATGGCGCAGTCCCTACAGATCGAAGCGCGCTTCCAAGACCTAGAAGCTAGATTGGGAGATACACTCGCCCTGGCTGCCGCAGCTGCCAGAACCGGTCAGCGGCCTGGCGTGATTGCCATGACGCTGAGCTGGATAGCCGGTACTATTAGCTACATGCTGCAGATGACTTGGGACATCGCCATGTACCCCTTCCGCACAGCAGCGGTAGCAGTTTCAGTAGCTAAATCGCTGTTTGTACGGGATGAGCGGCAGGCGAAACGGAGGGTGAAGGGAGGGCAGGTAAATGGGCATACGGGTATGTCGACGAGTCGGATGCAAGCGAAACCTGTGCGGTAGTCTACTCAGTTCTATTAATACTTTAATACCATTCTCACTCCCATCCTATCACCTTGCTATCTGTGCATAAACTGGGTTGTACAGTATGTTATCGCGATGTTCGACATGGTCGTGCTGCGAGGTCACCGCCGATACCGGACGCGATATCAGTCTCCATCGTCGCAACCGCACGACATCCGGAGTCTTCCGAAAGAGTAACCCGAAAATGCAGGTACGAACGTTACTTCGGAGATAATAAATGCCTGTACACCAACCACAGCAGAGCGACTAACGTCCTTTCCAAGTTAGCATGGCCGTGTTGTATACCCCGCCCCCACTTTGATACGTGCGAGGGGAGAAACACGAGGGAGTACTGCCGTGGCCGATGGGGGATGTAACGTGGTAATCGCATGCTTACTACTACTACCTCTGTACGCCTCGTTCTGTTTGACTCATCTTCGATTTTCACCTCCTGATTCTACATTTTCTAGATACCCGACTGTTTGTGAAGAAGCCGTTCCGCGACGTTCAAGCAGCGTGTTGGCAAAGAAGAAAGAGCAAGGACACAAGAAACTGTAACAAGCCACAACCATGTATCCAAAATCAGACGTCACAGTCGACGCCACGAAGTTCGATCGCAGCGGCATCGACAAACAAACCCTGGAGTTCAACGAGAAGTTGATTAAGATCTGGGCGGATGGACCGCGGTGGTATGAGGTATGTCTCCAGTTTCCATCTCCGTCCCATTCCCTCCCTATGCCATCCCCTCCCCACCCAGTCTTATATCCTTCAACCCTGTGCCAACGTAAAAATGTACAGGTCGGCGCAGCAGCGTACCGCCAGATGCGCTGGGAAGGCAAAACCCCCTTACCCAAACCCGTCGTACTTCCCGAAGGTTTCAACGGCACGCTCCCTTCTCGAGACGCAGGAAGGGAGATACCGTATAGGGTGTTTAAACCGAGTGGAGGGGTGAGCAGGGGGATTCATATGCATATTCATGGTGGGGGGTGGGTGTTGATGAGTGAAGCTTAGTAAGTTGATTTTCTGGTTCGTGTCCAGTGGTAGGATTTGGGTGGATGGGTGGATAGAGACGGGAGGGGAAGGGAGGGAAAGGGGAATATGGGTATTGGGATTGGTAATAAGGCTGACATGAACAACAGCCAAGACCCATACCTAAAATACATGACCGACCACTTCGAAGTAACAGTCGTATCAATCGGATACCGGCTCGCGCCCGAAGACCCCTGGCCCGCTGGCGCAGAAGACTGCTATGACGCTGCGGAATGGCTGGTGAAGAACGGTCCGGAGGTGTTTGGTGGGGAATTGATGTTTACGGGTGGTGAGGTATGTGTCTTTCCCTCCCCCTCCTTTCTGCTTTCATTACCTCCCCTACACTACCCCCTTCCTTCTCTCTTTGCACACATACCCGACCCCATACTAACACCCCCCTAGTCCGCAGGCGGCCACCTCGCCTGCCTCGTCGCCTTCCACCTCCTAAAAACGCTCCCCACATTCTCCTTCCGCGGCCTCCTCCTCCACTTCGGCTGCTACGACATGTCCTCCTTCCTGCCCCACGTCCTGCACCACGAATCATCCCTCGTAATCGACTACGACGTGATGAAATCCTACATCGACGCCTTGCTCCCCAACACCACGGAAGCGGAGCGCCGCGATCCGTCGATATCACCGTTTTGGCAGGATCTGAGGGGAATGAAACTGCCGCCGGCGCTGTTTACGTGTGGGAGTGAGGATCCGTTGTTGGATGATAGTGTGTTGATGGGGGCGAAGTGGGGGATGTGGGGGGCGGAGAGTGTGGTTAAGATTTATAGGGGGGCGCCGCATGGGTTTATTGGGTTTCCGCCGGGGACTATTAAGGCGGTGCAGGAGGTGCTTGATGATACTGAGGCGTTTGTTAGGGCGAAGATGGGGGTGTAAGCCGAGGATCTGTCTTCCGCAAGAAGCGCTACACCAGGTTCAACCACCTGAAATGCTTATCTCGCAGGAAGCTCATCTGGAACTCTTCCCATGCCGCCTCTTCCACACGCGTCTTTTTATTTCGTGTGACGTGTCTTCGTACACTCTTAGGCGGAAACACGCAGTTGTAATTGAGCACATAGCCACTGCCAATGAACCGAAACACCGGCAGTTGCGTATCATCAAGATGCCCGACTTTTCGAAGTATAAATACGACTAGAGACTCTCTCCACACCTGAACTTCTGGATGCTCATCAGACCCATCAAGCAATACAATTTGGTCACCGATCTCCATATTCTTGTTACCAATCCCCACAGAGTAAACCTGTGTTCTTGGGTCCTGGAAACAAAAGAACTCGTTGGTTGCTAATCGCCGAACCAGTTTGTGCACAATCTCTTGAACCCTGACTGAAGGCGCTATAGTATTGCATGCTGAGCCAGCTTTCTCGGAGAAGACTGCCATCTCTGCCAAGTGCTGCTCAAGTCTTATAATGTCTTCATTGCTGACCAAGGGGAAAGACACCTTGATCATGTCAATGAGAATACTCCTAGTACCTAACACGTTCTGTGATAACTTCGATGGCAGACCAGATAGATGCAAGGAACGTCTCGGGTTCTGGAGTAACATATGCAACTGCGATAGCTGCGCCAAGAACGAAGTTTGATCATCTGCTGGCGTTCTTGAAGTCTTGAGCTGGACGGTACAAAGATCTTTTAACCCAACATCTTGCGTAGATCCTCTGTGGTTGAATCCCATACGAAGACCCATGGTATGCACTTTCATGTCGGGATATTCAAGGTACTGTGGGTTACGTGAGAGATTTGAACCTATACGCCACTTATCTCGGGGTAAGACTCGCCAATCTGGTGCCCAGGAAGCCAAATCGGTCGGCTGCGGAGAGTGCTGGCGGGAAAGCAAAGCTTCCCACATCTTTCCGTGCGTCCTGGGTCTCTCCCAGCAACTCAGTGCGAAGGCTTGGTAAGTGCCGTATACATCCAGCGAGCAATCGATATTCATGGAGACTCGTTCGTCTGTTCCTGATGTAGAGCCGATTGCTTGGGATGAGTGTCGTACATCTGTTGCCATGCTATACAAGGCGAGTATTCGATCCCGGGGATCTGTGCATCCGTATAACCTGAAACCTTCTACTAGGCTTAGGATTTGGGTGGCGCCTTCAGATGTGGATGATGGCGCCTGACGAGAAGCTTTACCAAAGAGCGAATGGCGGTTCCAGAGTTTCCCCATCTCGTCAAGGACCGCCATTCTTGATTCGTGGAGTTCATTGACTCGAATGTGTCTCTGCAAGACAGATAGCGCAACCACGAGTCGGGAGAAAGTAAGCTCCATGCTGCCACAGATCAAGTGAATGTCCAAATTGAAGACGACTTCCTGTACTATCCAAAGTCTGTTGAACCATGGCAGACTCAGAAATCGCAGGACGTCGGAGAAGCCATCATGTAGAGCCTCAAGTTGAATCGTGGATGCTCGAGAAAGCCGGTTCAGTTCCCGCATGCCTTGTTGCTCGACCGTAGTATCTCCACCCGGGTCAAGCCAAGCCATGACTCTTCGAGCACCTCGGAAGATCTGAACCATCAAAGGGATTTGCACTGCCTTTTCCTCATTGTCGACCTGGTTGATACTCGCAGCGTCAGCCCAAAGAAGTCGATCCCGGTCGGCTCGGCGCAGATATCTCAGAGCGCGGTCAAGATTCTCTGTGACGAAGACTTGAGTACCGTCATCGACATGTAGAGCGAAAGCCAGAATTGGTTGCCCCCATGTGTACGATACGGCTTCGTAACGCCCTTCGACATCTTCCAGAGTCGACGAGCAAAAGTTGATCCGCAGGGGTGCGTCTTTGGACATGGCTGGGTGCAGAGTAATCAGCCTGATGTGCTCTGGGCTCTCGAGTGCTGCGTAGGAGTGTCTGCGGACACTGGGGTCATTTGTAAGAGCCATGAAGCCGGGCGATCCTAGAGAAGAGGGTACAATAAGAAACCCGAATGAAGAATGTATGGTAGGAGAAATGGTTTGGCAGGCTGTAGCAGGCCTCACAAACGACGTACGTAGTGCGAGGCTGATTAACCGGTGTAGCTGAGCCAATCACCGCATTGGCGTGCAGGATCCCATGGCGGCATGATAACGTGATTAGCGACTCATCACCTACATGCGACTGCATATAATTTGTTCAACACGGGAGACGCATTCATCTTTCGTGGTGCTGGTGGTGGTGTTGAGTCGGGATGAAAGCACGCTGAACGGAGGTTGATCCCTGACTAGCTCAAACGTCATACACCGCACGGCCTATCTCGCAGGCCCAAGGCGACGCGACAAGAAAACTTCGTGTCGCACGAACTCACCATGGCCCAATAGCCCACCACTCGCAACACCAAAAGTCGCCATGGCCGACAACGAGAGCCCCGAGAGGCGGCGGCCGCGCCGGATGAGCGCCATGTACCGCCGTGGCTCCCACTTGAGCGAGTACGTGTGACGGCCAGCTCAGCGTCGGGCGCGACTAATTGACTTTCTCAGGGCAAGCTTCATGGAAGATGTCGAGATGGCGCAAGATGAGGTATTCGAACTCGCGCCCATGCCTCCTTCCCGTCCTGCCTACAACCCCCGTGGAAGGAAGCCTGGCCAGCAGCTGACGCCCACAATCCAGGTCTTCTCCGGCCCCATGAGCGAGAGCGTCCCCACGAGCGTCTCTGGATTCCGCCACCGCCGGTCGCGCGCCGATTCGAGTGCGAGTTTGACGAGTTTCGCATTCTACGATGAAGAGCAGGATTCACAGGGTGAGGACGAGGATAGCGCGATTTTGGAGGACGGCGAGAGCACGTACAACAACGGCTATACCGTGTCAGAGCTGGAGGACCTCGAAGCGGGGATATCGTCGGAAACATCGCATTCACCGTCACCATCGCGGCGGAAGTCAAGTGGCAGCAGGAAGTCATCCGAGCGGCCGCTGTTGCGCAGGCACTCTTCGACAGGCAGCGCAGGCTCGGGCATTGACTGGAGAGGGCGCAGGTCCAACCAGAAGATCTACATTATGACCGAGGACCTCACCATTGTCATCGCCGGCTTCAGAACATCGCCCATTGGCTACGCGCTCTATGCGCTTCTCTGCTTCGTGACGCTAGGTCTCGGCTGGCTCCTGTTCAGATGGTTACCAAGATGGAGGGTCGCAATAACAGGAAAGAGCTCACCACTGAAGGAGTGCGACTGGATAGTCACAGAGAATCAGTGGGGCGAGTTTGCGGTGCAGCATGTCAGCAAGCAAACCTACGGCCGGTCGCTTTCGACTGTGTTCGGCGACCCTGAAAAGGGACGGCCACGGGAATGGGATGAGGAAGACGACCCGCTCATCGGCGAGCTTAGGTGCCTGGACTACCGATACATCCGCTTCGTGTATCACCCCATCAAGGACAAGTTCGTCCTCGCAAACACCTGGACAGATCCCACCTGGACCGAAGTCTCAGCTCTCCGCGAGGGTCTCGACAATGATGAGCGCGACTACCGCGAGCTGGTCTTTGGAAAGAACGTCATCGATATCGCCGAGAAGACTATCGGTCAGCTCCTAGTCGATGAAGTCTTTCATCCTTTCTACGTCTTCCAGATCGCCAGTCTGATCCTCTGGTCCATGGACGAGTACTACTACTACGCATGCGCCATCTTCATCATCTCGGCCGTCAGTATCGTCACCACACTGGTCGAGACAAAGGCATCCATGAAGAGACTGCGCGAGGTGTCAAAGTTCGAATGCGAAGTGCGCGTACTGCGCAGCGGTTTCTGGACCCACATCGACTCGGCAGAGCTTGTACCGGGAGATGTCTACGAAGTCACCGATCCTTCCCTTGCGCTGTTCCCCTGTGACAGTCTATTGCTCTCTGGCGACTGCATCGTAAATGAGAGTATGTTGACTGGCGAGTCGATTCCTGTTTCCAAGGTACCCATGTCGAACCACGCTCTAGACCTCCTAGATCTCAGCGCTTCGGCCGTCCATCCTGAAGTTGCACGACACATGCTGTTCAGCGGAACCAAGATCATTCGCGCTCGCAGACCACATGAAGACCACGTTGATGACGAAGCTGCTGCATTGGCTATGGTTGTGCGCACTGGTTTTAACACCACCAAGGGCGCACTCGTCCGTTCAATGCTCTTCCCCAAGCCATCAGGGTTCAAGTTCTACCGCGACTCTTTCCGATACATCTCCGTCATGGCATTCATTGCTATGATCGGCTTCGTCGCATCTTTCATCAACTTTGTGCATCTAGGCCTTGCATGGCATCTGATTGTCGTACGAGCTCTCGATCTGATCACCATTGTCGTTCCTCCTGCTCTCCCAGCCACGCTCACCATCGGTACCAGCTTCGCCCTATCGCGCTTAAAACAGAAACAGATTTTCTGTATCAGTCCACAGCGTGTCAACGTAGGTGGCAAGCTGGATGTCGTCTGCTTTGACAAGACTGGAACTCTTACCGAGGAAGGTCTTGATGTTCTTGGAGTCCGCGTAGTCGAGCGACCAAGGAACAGGTTCAGTGAGCTGCTTCCAGATGCCTATGACATCCTGCCCGCATCACAGCACGACCGCGACCCGACAGTTGAGTACCTCGCACACAAGACGATTCTATACACCATGGCCACTTGTCATTCACTCCGTAAGATCGATGATGAGCTAGTAGGTGACCCGCTTGATGTCAAGATGTTCGACTTTACCGGCTGGAGCTACGAAGAGGGAGAACAGAAAGCTGGCAACGCTGGTGACGACGACCCCGAGCAAAAGCTTTCGCCATCTGTTGCCCGACCGCCACCAGGCCGCGAATACGATGTTGACGATGTTGAAGATGAAGCCAACAGGAAGCAAGTCGAGCTTGGCGTACTTAAGGCTTTCGAATTCGTGTCTCAACTACGACGAGCTAGTGTCATCGTTCGCCAGTTTGGTTCAAAGAGCGGACAAGTATACGTCAAGGGTGCACCTGAAGTCATGAAAGAGATCTGCCGACCTGACAGCTTTCCTACCGACTACGAGGAGCTTCTCGCCTTCTACACCCACCGCGGATTCCGTGTCATTGCCTGCGCTACCAAATCGATCCCCAAGCTCAACTGGCTCAAGACTCAGAAGATGAAGCGTGAGGAAGCAGAGAGCGACCTGGACTTTGTTGGTTTCATCATCTTCGAGAACAAGCTCAAGGACAGCACCGCTCCTGTCATCGAAGAGCTCGAACGCGCAAACATCCGCAAGGTCATGTGCACTGGTGACAACATTCTCACAGCTATCAGTGTGGCTCGCGAGTGTGGACTGATCAACAAGACTGCTCACTGCTTTGTGCCTCACTTCGAAGAGGGTGATTCTCGGACGGCACTATCGAAGCTCAGCTGGGAAAGTGTGGATGACCCGGTCTTCAAGCTTGACGATAATACCCTCAAACCCCTGCCGCCGCCACCTGAAGCCGACGTATCCCTTCCCTACGACATTTCCAACCTCCGCAACTACAGCTTAGCCGTCAGCGGCGACGTATTCCGCTGGATCGTCGACTTTGCCTCCGAATCTGTCCTCCGCGAAATGCTCGTCTGCGGCCAAGTCTTCGCCCGCATGTCCCCCGACGAAAAGCACGAACTCGTCGAAAAGCTCCAATCAATCGACTACTGCGTCGGCTTCTGCGGCGACGGCGCCAATGACTGCGGTGCCCTCAAAGCAGCCGACGTGGGCATCTCCCTCTCTGAAGCCGAAGCCTCGGTTGCCGCGCCATTTACCTCCCGCCAATTCGACATTTCCTGCGTCCTGCAAGTCATCAAAGAAGGTCGCGCCGCCCTCGTCACCAGCTTCAGTTGTTTCAAATACATGTCGCTCTACAGCGCCATCCAATTCTGCTCTGTATCCTTCCTCTACGCTAGCGCGAGTAACCTCGGCGACTTCCAATTCCTCTTCATCGACCTGCTGCTCATCCTGCCCATCGCCATCTTCATGGGCTGGTCCGGCGCCTACCCGATCCTCAGCCGCAAACGTCCGACCGCCAACCTCGTATCACGAAAGGTGCTTACGCCGCTACTGGGCCAAATGGTCCTATGTATCCTCGTCCAATTCATAGCCTTCCACTACGTCCAGAAACAGGAATGGTACATGCCCCCCGTCTTGGACCCCAACCACAGCAACAGCTTGAACAGCCAAAACACGGCCTTGTTCCTAACAAGTTGCTTCCAATACATCTTCTCCGCCGTCGTCCTCAGCGTCGGGAAACCCTACCGCGAACCCATGGGCCGCAACTTGCCTTTTATCACCACCATCTTCGTTACCCTCGCCATTACGCTGTATATGCTGTTTGACCCCGCCGCGTGGGTCATGTCGGCGATGGAGTTGACGTTTTTGGATACCCCGTTCAAGGTTTTCATCTTAGCGCTGGGGCTGGGCAACTTTGCGGCGGCGTATGTGGGGGAGAATATGCTGTTCCCTGGGTTGAGCAAGTGGATTGGGGTTGCGAAGGTGAAGTTTGGGGGGAGCGGCATGCAGAAGAAGAGGAAGGAGTATAAGGTTATTGCTGAGGGGATGAGGATGTGAGTTGGAGGGGCTGGGGGTGGCGGATGGGGTGGCGGATGGGGTGGGAGGGTTTAGGGAAGGGATGTGTATATATTGGGGCTGGGGTTTGGATAGATAAGGAAAATGTTATGATATTTTGATGAGGGGTGTTCTTGACTTGACTGCAATGTAGACATCCTTGCTCTCCGTGCGTTGTGCTGTTCCTGCGCCGATGTTCCTCTCCTGGAAATCACGGTGAAGGCGCGAGCTTTAGTTACCTGGGTTACCATCCCGCGCAGCGTAATCTCACTCTCACTTTTCCTCGTCTCGATTTTCGCTAGTTTATCAGTCGCTCAGACCTTTTTTGACACTGCTATCTCACCTGGTTCCTACTCTCTATCTACTCGACCCCCTCATACTCCGTCGCTCAGCAATTCGCGTAACGGAACCGCCAGCTCTTCATCAAACCACTTTCCACAACCATACCATCTTCAACAGCGATCATGCCCCCGAAGAAGAAGGTCGTAGATGAAGCTGCCGAGACCGGCGGCGACGGTGTAAGTACGATCCAGCACCACACTCATTCCCACGGAGACTAACACTCACACAGGCATTCCGCTGGACCCCCGAGAACGAGCGCGCAGTGCGTCATCCCCTCAAACCACACCCCCAAACTCCTCTAACACAACCCGCAGCTCTTCGTCCTAATCATTGAACGCCAACTCACCACAGACGACTATCACAAGATCGTCGAAGCTCTTCCACGTAAGTACGCCCATTACCTCCTCACTACTTCCCAAAGATAGCACGCTAACCACACATACCCACAGCCGGCGCAAACTACAACGGCGTCCGCCAGCGCATCTCCAAGTTACGCAAGGAGCAGCGCGAGCGCTTCACCGAACTCGGTTGGGACATGCCAGATGGTGTTGCGACCAAGACACCTACCAAGGCTGCGGCTAAGACTGGTACACCGAAGAAGAGGGCTGCAGGTGGTGCGGAGAAGGGCGAGGAGCTTGGTGGTGCTGAGGGAGAGACTGAGTCACCTGCGAAGAAGCCGCGTGCGAGGAAGGGCAAGAAGGAGGTTGTTAAGAAGGAGGTCGAGGAGGATGACGGACTTGGTGGTGAGATGGAGGTGGAGGATGGCGGTGTCAAGGAGGAGTTGGTTGGAGATGATTTGTAGATATTCTGAGATACTGAGCTGTCAAGCAGAGGCGCGACTATTCGGTTTCTACGTACGACTTCATTAGGATCGACAGCCAGAGATGATTACTTCAATCATGGGTATTCTAGCAATGTAGAATCATAGGCACATATCAGTGGAATTTGATCTTCCTGCAAAACAAGATGGCCAGTGTTAATCTCCCGTGTCTCTTCTCTGTGAGTAGAATGCAAAGGTGAAGGTGACTGTTTCCTCAAAGAGGAAATCAAGCAGAATCTCACTCTCACCTCTCCTCTCCCCTCTTTCTACTTTGAGCACCAGCCAGACTCCAAATCTCCCACTCGAGACACGTACAAATCCCTCACTCCCACTCGTCTCTCAACTTGATTTCTCTCCCGCTCTTCCTCTCTCTTACACAATCTACCTCACCACACCAAATCAACACCTAATCCCAGCCCCCCCAAAACAACCAACAACCTTGGAACTTACCAACCATGCCACCCAAGAAGAAGACCACAGTAGCCGAAGGCGGCGAGGCAAAAGGCGGCGTACGTTTCTTCCCCCTCCAGTATTTACCTAATGAGCCAACAACTAACACTTATCCCAGGCGTTCCGCTGGACGCTCGAGAACGAGAAGAAGGTAAGCCTCCGCTCAAAATGCCTGATGACTGGTAGATCGGGACTAACAGCTTCCTTTCCATATAGCTCCTCATCCTGACACAAGGACGCTACCTCACAGCCGAAGACTACGAGCGTATTGTCGGCGTATTTCCTGGTTGGTTTTTTCCTATATTCTTTCCCACTTTCCCACTTTCCCATCTTCTCCCTCCAACATCCTCCATCCCCTTCCCTCTCCCGACTCCATCCCAAAGCACCCAACTAACCCCCCACCCCACAGGAACATCCATCAAAGGCGTCCAAGTCCGCGTCTCCCTCCTCCGCGTCGAACAACGCAAGCTCTACGAAGAATACGGCTGGACACTGCCCGAAGGCGGCGCTAAAGCAAAGACGCCCGTTACTACTCCGCGCAAGACACCTCTTAGCAAGAAACGTGGCGCTGGTGTTGTCGAGGGCGATGGTGATGGCTTGGAGGACGGAGGTGAAGAGGCAGCTACGCCGAGTAAGAAACCGAGGGGTAAGAAGGGGGCTGGCAAGGCTAAGGGCAAGAAAGAGGAGAGTGTTGAGGACGCGGTTGAAGAAGATGGTAGTGAGGAAGGTGGTGGTGGAAAGAGTGTTGGTGTCAAAGAGGAGGTTCTTGATGAGGAGCTTGATGAGATGGTCTAGGCTGTCTTGCCTTCTCTCCCCCATCCACCTCACTATCTCTGTTTCTTTCTCCCGTTCTCTAGTTCAGGGGAAATCACTGGTTCTGGCTCCGTTGCGCATGCAAGTTCGCATGCTACATCAGACATCGAGTGGAACACACACGGTCTAACGACAGTACTGGGGTTTTGGTACGCGAGACAGACTTGCTTCTGCCGGATTTACTTTGGTGGTGGATATGCGCTGAGCACTTGACTTGATCGTCTATCTTGAGCGAGAAAATTTCATTGATGATACAATCCTCTTGCATCCGTTCATGCTTGTGCTGTTTGACGTATTTGAAGAGTGAGGTGTGTTTGGGAGAAGATGGATGCAAACATGGCTTAGAGAATGTTAAACTGCAGATCAAAAGCGCAAGAACTATCTCCGCAAGTTATCGAACTGTTCATATACGCAGATGAACACCATAAGAAAGGGAGGAAATAAGTGCTTCATTTATGCCACACATAACTAGAATTGTAGGTATCAAACGCCGTACGCCATGTCCTTGTCCCAATAACCGTTATCAGCGCCACACAATGCTGCTCCGAGGAACATCCGATTTACAAACCCCATCAGCACCACCAGCTCGGGTATCTACCTTATTTGTCGCCCTTCTTCTTGCGCAGAGACTGCCCAGACCCTTCGAAGTGCTTCGAATCTTTCTGCTCGCCTTCCTCTTCCTTGCCCTTTAGTGGCTTGATCTCGTACCCGAAGAACAGTTTGTTGGGTGGTAGTCTGAGCGGCTGCGGGCCGTTGGTGCGTCGTACTGTTGGGGGCGGGTTTGATGACTGTCCTGCGATGGGGGTGGAGGCTTGCGGGGTGGGCGCCTTGCTGCCCTTCTTGAGCAGCTTGTGGCCGGTGGTGAGGAAATTTGAGGAAGTGGCCTTGGCTCCGTTGGCTGCGGCCGCCGATGATGGTGCGATGGCAGCGTAGTTGATAGCATCTGCCATGGTGCCTTGAGCGTGTAGTGTGCCGCCTTTGCCGCTCATGACGCCCTTTCCACTGCGCGGTGTGCTTGTGCCGCTGTTCCTTTGGGGCTCTTGGTAGCCTACTGGGGGAGCGAAGTCGACTGACAGATCGGTCTCGATGGTGCAGACGGCCTTGCTTGGGTGTTCTGGCTTGGCCTCCAACACTGCTATGCTATACACGTTGTCGTTGTATGAAAAGGTGAATATGTCGCCGACCGTAAGGCAGGAGAAGTTGCGGAACGCGTTTTCGAGTACGGCCTTGGGATCGGAGATTTCGAGGAAAGAGGAGTCTTGTGGTTGCAGCTTGATAAAGGTGCCGAGAGGGATGTCGGTTGACTTGACTTGTAGCAGGTCACCGGGCTCCAGGTGGAGTGTCTCCATAAGCCAATATGGCAGGTAGATCTTGCCCTCTTCTGCGATGAATTCTAGCACACCTGCGTGTGTCTTCTTTCCGTCCGCCTTGCCGTTTATGAGCTCGAAGAGCATGGGGTATGTGATGTGCAGCCTGGTGAGCTTGTCGAGAGCACTCGGAGGGAGGAACACTTTGCCGCCGTGGTTTGCCTCGTGGCGCTCCGGGCCAGGCAACATGACGATGGGATAGCATCGAAAGTACTCATCGAAGCGTCGAGGAGCGCCGCCGCGACGTGCGGCGAGGGACTGGTACATGGCCATGGGATCGTCTTGGTCGTAAAAGTTGGGGTTGAACTGTAGTGGTGAGTGTAGGACAAAGAAGGTGGTGGGGTCGCTCTTACCATTTTGAGTGTGCGGAATCAGTGAGTCAGAGGGTCTTCCGGTGGGGAGTGAATGGGTCAGGAATTGTTAGGTAACGGCGGGCAGGTGGTGGAAGTGATATGTCTTCGATGAGAGAGGCCTGAGATGACGACCGTGGTTGGTAGCAGTACAGCGGGCCGTTTGAGCCAGTAGGAAGTCCGCTAAACTCCGATTAGCGCGTCATGGCCCAAGCTTCAAATTAATCGCGTCCGACGTCACTGCCTGGCCGCCTGGATTCACATATCGCCAAACCTCGACGCCGCAAGACCGCGCAACGTTGCTAATCGTCATGGCCAGCTCTAGTGGAACATACAATCCCGCGCGACCGAAGCGCGCTGGCGAGCAATTCACGCGAACCCACCACATGGACGCCGACGAACATTCCACCAAGAAACCCCGCTTTGACCCGCGCAACCCCTCCACGCTGGCTCCGGATGCAGACGACGAAGAAGATCCTGCTCTCGAGGCTGACGTGATAGGAAAAAGCGCAGGCATCAAGCGGAACGCAGTCAACATCGACGGCTACGACTCAGACAGCTCCACGGAGAACTTCGAGGCGCGCGCAGAAGCCCGACCCAACAAGGACGAGCCGCCCAAAACCGAGGACGATGACGACGACATGTTCGCCGAGGATGACAAGGACGATGATATGGACGAGGGGTTGCGGAGAGATCAGACCAAGAAGAAGAAGTTGCGCTTCCTGGACGACGCCGAGATCGAGGGCCAGGAAGCGAACAGCAAGTCTGGGGGTCACGTAGCCGTGGACTTCACCAAGGGCCCGAAGAGCAGAACAGAAGAAGTGGAGAGCAGTAGCGATGAGGGAGATGACGAGTTGCGCGACCACGTTCCCTCCGACGTCGACGAGGAGATAGGTGCAGGTGGCAAGAAGAAGCATGCGCCTAAGCTGGATGCTTTCAACATGAGCGCCGAGCAGGAAGAGGGTCGTTTTGACGAAGCAGGAAACTTTGTGCGCAAGGCTTTTGACCCTGAAGCTGCCCAAGACTCGTGGTTGGACGGCATATCGAAGAAGGACATCAAAAAGGCAAAGGAGGCGCAAGACAAGCTGGATGCCGAGCGAAAGGCACGAGAACGAGCCGAAGACTCCATCGTGACCAGCGACGTTCTATCGACCCTTATCACGCACCTGGACGTTGGCGAGACGCCCATGGAGGCTCTCGTCCGATACGGCAAGGCAGCACCGAAGAAGCCAGCCAAGAACTGGGCCAAGAAGAAGAAGAGCCAGGCTATGGAGGTCGATTCAGATCCATCGCAGGATGCTGCGGCGATCCAGGCAAAGGAGGTGATTGATTCTATAACCGAATGCGCCAGTCGGCTGTCTGATCGCGGCGTCGAGGATATTTACGAACTCCCCCGCGAATCCATCATGCGGCAGTACAAGCGTGAGACTGGAGAGGACTGGAAGAACCCGAACCCGGAGACAGTGCAGTGGGAATTCCACTGGCTCAACGCACCAGAAGGTGAGATTAATGGGCCATACGACCAGGCGACCATGCAAGCGTGGGAAGCAAGTGGGCAGTTTGCAGCGGGAGCCGAATTCCGACGCGTCGGCGAGACTGAATTCTCGCGGCTGCTCGACTTTGAGGACTGAAGGGGCATGCAATTGATGTAAGCACAGCCACGATGTCTGTCGCGTAACCAGTCCGCAGAAAAGGGATGATGGCGAGACGTCGCGCCTGAGAGTGGTGTTCGGCCCAGTGGCCGGATTCACATGATCAGCTATGCATGCAGGCTAAGCGATCCTACAAACCACATCTGCTGTGCTCAGCCAGTCGGAAACTTGATAAAAGCGGGAAGCCGTCCCTGATCGTCTTCCATGGCCGAGTATATGCCTAGCTCTCAGATGGTCTGTCAAATGAGATGAGTGAGTGTGCTGTGCGGCGTGGACTGCGCAGCGTGGATGAGGATTATACAGAGTTATGTGTAGACCACAATAGAATATGAACAAGCAGTGTCAAGCGATGGCAGTGAATATGCAGCCTTATTCCAGTTGCACATCTGGGGTGCAGCACGATGAACCGTACCAGGGGAGATTACCGGTGGCAGGGTGCAGCTGACGACGTCGCGTGTGCTCATCATGCACCCCGAGCGTCTCGGAGGATTCTGGCCAAAGGAGCAGGTCCCTCGAGTTCACGACGGGGCAGATTTGGCCTGTCTCGACGCCGTTGACAGCAGACACTTCTGGCAGGCGTTGATGGAAGGGAAAAGCAGAGTTGGTGTTGTTCCACGTTATTGGCAGGGAGCTAACGCTACGGCCCGCCACCTGGCGACTTCCAGAACGCCGGGCCATCCCTCTGTCGCCCTTTTGTGAGGCTGGCCCGTCTAGGGAGGGCGATGATGTGGCGCGTGGGCAGACATGGTGGGCATGAGTAATGGGAGGTGTTGGGCTCTGGCCAGGGCATCTGTGCGGACGAGGGTATTTTAAGAGAGATGTCATGGTAGAGGGCGGCGAAGAGGTAGCGGCCTCAGACGGCGGGAGGAACAAGCCGTATACACAACTTAATACCAAACACGACCTAGGCAGAGTGCAGCGGGAGATGGTTTACGATGGGCGTCAGCCAATCAAGATGGATAAGTCGCTGACTCCTGACCTGGCCAGCCGTTCGCTGCGCGCGAGACTATTGAAACAGCTGCCCTCTGTCGTCGCGGGCACGTGTGCAGCCGTCTCCCCGCGCCGTTAGTGGGTGTCAGGACAACTTTTGCTTCCAAGCGGCGGGCATCGTCGTCGCATCCAGCCAGCTACGCATCCACCCTGTCGCGTGTTAGCGATATTGAAGCCCTCTGACGTCTGCTAGCCTGTTGTTCGCGTCCCACCGAAAAGTGCGGCTCGAAAGGGGACGACTGCGCTGGGTCCGCCAGGCATCCCTGATTATTACCATCGCCAGCCAACCTCGACCACGCAAGCTCGAGCTCACACCGACCCCTTTTCTCCTCCGATCCGACCTGACCTGTTTGCGACGGCCGCCTTCCGCTCATTTCACGACATTACGAGCTTGGACCACGTGCTACTCTTACCTCCGCTGTTAATTTTCTTGCTCTGCACCCAAACACCGCCCCGGCCCTCCCTCGCCGCACACATATAATGTACTCGTCGGCGTACGACCAGTCGACGTCGCGCTCGCCCATTGCCCAACGGAACCAGCCCCACTCTGGCACCCTGCACCGAATGCCCTCTCGCCAGTTCGACGCCTACCAGCAGGTCCAGCAGCCCAACGCCATGTACGC